AATTGTTATTAACTAATATTTATATTTCAAATTTACTTTTAGGATTACATATAAAAAATATAAATATTAAATTATTTTTATTATTATTATTTCCCCAATCTTTTCAATTATTTTAAATCATACTTCATTAATTACTTTACATACGTCTTCACCCCCAAAGAATGTTATTCTTTTTTAACAAATCGATAATAATTAATAAATAATATTTAATAAAAGAAATAAATTACAGTTGCGGTCATATAAAAACTTCTCTACATGTAAACATTACTATTATACAAAATACCTCTAATACGACCTCCCCATAATAACAATAACAACGTTTTTGGAAAAAGTTATTATTACTATCTCGACACTGGAGAATAAATTAATTGATAATTCAATATTTTTGATCCACTAAGCTTTTTTCAATAAAAAAATGTACATAGAAACGACTTTTAAGAATATTATCTTGTAAACCAACGCCCCATTGAGGTTGTACCGTGCTCGTAATTTTGTGTGCATCACTGCCACTAAGTCAGCAATAATACTCCAAAACAAATGTTATGTGCTATTAACAACATATATACCTGATTTTTTGCTTTTATGTGATTTTTTTTCGCAGAAAATAGTTTCCAAATTGGTTAGCCTTTCAGTATTAGTAGATTCCACTATAAAAAATTACTGATACTAATGATTAAATCGTAATTTTGATTATTTATTATTTTAATACACTCTTTAAACCAAAAGAATTATGACCTCTGTTCTTGATCAAATTAAACAATGCACTAAAGTTGTTGCTGACACTGGTTATTTTGAATGTAGGAGTTTTTTCAATAAATTAATAAATTCTTCAACCAACACCTATCATAATTTTTTTATCAATTAATCCTATTTATACAAGAACGATCGCCAAGTATAAGCCTCAAGATGCAACAACAAACCTTTCTTTGATTTTACAAGCCACACAAAAACCTAATTATGCTCATCTGGTTGATTCAGCTATTAAATATGCTAAAAGCAAAAATGGGTAATTAATTTGTTTTAATCAATTATTTGATTACTTGTTAATTTGTTACACTCAAGACCATTCATTTCATAATATATTCACATATCTATTATATAGATCAATTGATGAAAAAGTTGAATTAGCAACTGATAAATTGGTAAAATTGGAGAATACTTATAATATCTTAATATAAATATATATATCACTCACACAAATACATAATAATACATAATTATAGTTGATTAATTTTGATAATGAAATTCTTAAAATTATTCCTGAGAGAGTTTCAACTGAAGCAGATGCAATTTTATCATTTGACACTGAAGGGACTATTGCTAAAGCTAACCATTTGATTGGACTTTATGAGGAAGCTGATATTGGTAAGGAAAGAATATTAATCAAGATTGCTTCTACTTGGGAAGGCATTAAAGCTGCTTAATACTTGAGAAAGAAAGAATCCATTGTAATCTCACTTTACTTTCTCTTACCCTCAGGTTATTATTAAATTCTTTTTCCCCCAAAAAAATTTTAATTGGATCTTTTGCTAATTAATTAATACTTATAATTGTTTATCTATGTTCATTCATTCGTTCTTACATATTCGTTTGTTTTCTTGCTCCATGTTTCTCTTCCTCTCATATATAATAGGCAGTTGCATGTGCTGAGGCAGGCATAACTTTGGTTTCACCATTTGTTGGTCGTATTCTTGATTGGTATAAGAAAAATACAGGACGAGATTTTTCAGCCAAAGAAGATCCAGGTGTAAAATCTGTCACTAAAATTTATTATTATTATAAAAAACATAGTTATAAAACTATTGTTATGGGTGCTTCATTCTGTAACACAGGGGAAGGCAAAGAATTAGCTGGTTGTGATCTTTTGATTATTAGTCCAAAATTGTTAGAACAATTACATTCTGATACTAAAAAAACCATTAAACGTAATCTAAGTCCTGAAAATGGTAAGTTATTTGTGTTTATGTGTAAAATGTTTGTATATACATGATGCATGTATATTATGCATGCATACTATTTATATACGTCAAATATACGCACTTCACAACAAATTGTTAATCGTGGCTTATAATTAGTTAAAACATCGTATGAAGAAAAAGTTACCTTTGATGAAAAAGGTTTCAGATGGGCACTTAATGAAGATGCTATGGCTACAGAAAAACTTGCTGAAATTTTGCAAGCGATGTTGCAAAATTAAAGACTCACTTGAGAGAGCTTTTATCTGCTTGATTCTTTTTCTTTTTCCATCACACGCATCTACATATATTGTGAGTATGAGTAATAATTGAATTAAAAAAAAATAATGACAATGACGATATTAATGATGGTAATTATTTATATTTTGCCAAATATTCCAGCAAAAGTACATCCAATACTACTTGGGTATCTTGATCCAAGCAAGATTTCAGATGATCTATAATACAATGTTATATTCACAAAATCAAATGCTTTTATCAACAAAAAAATTATCTAATATATCGATCTAATATACTTCATGTATAATGTTTAACTGGAATACAGGTTGCGCCAAAATCAGCCATTTTCCAGCTGCTATCTCTTTTCCCTGTAAACAACACCATACATTCCTTTAAAATCAAATTTGGTAACGATTTACTCCTGATCATAGTGTAATTTCTTACCCTCACCAAGTTTTCTAATTTCAAATAAAGTTCAGACATGTTGTTATGATTTTTTTTATTAGAATAAAGTTATTGTTATATTAAAAGTTTTTTTTATAAACTGATACATCAATTATAAAGACAGCAAAAGTATAAATAAATGTTCATTTTATTATTTTTCTAAAGGATGCAGAAATATGTTTCAACTTTCACTATGCATCAATATTGCAATTATTTAATAAGGATGATGTTTCCTTGATTTGGCATCAAAATTTCTATCTTTCCAATTATCTTTTCTCAATTTAATTGGTCTGTTTCCAACATATTTACCTTGGTTAATTAATAGAAATTTAAATAAATTAGTGTCCAATTATTACTATTGTCGTTATTTACAAATAAAAAATCTCTACGACCAGCGAAACCTTTCCCATGATAATATATATATTAAACCTACCATTCATTTCTTTCCATGCTTTGACAAATTCATCCGCATCT